AGAGAGAGAGAGAGAGAGAGAGAGAGAGAGAGAGAGAGAGAGAGAGAGAGAGAGAGAGAGAGAGAAACCTGGTTTGTTTAACCATAGTTTACTGAATAACCTCCCTGACTAATTTGATTCATACAACAAGTGGCACCATACACTAAAGTTTGCAAACAGCAATGGATAGTTCCCCAGATCATACTAGATTTAACCCAAAGAAATTATATCCTGGCTTAACCGGAGTCTATGTTCACTCCTTACACAATGCCATAGTTCGCTACAATAACGTTTCCTTAGACCATTTTTTTCATCAATCCACTAATATTAGATTTTGCTGTTACCCCCTTAGTGTCAAATGTGGATGATACCCTTTTGCAATGTTCGAATTGCAGCAGCTGGCATGTTTGTATTCGCAGAAGGCTAGGCTTTTCTTTTCCCTAATTTTAATAAAATAAAATTAACAAAACCAAATAAAATTGACATAGTAGTTCCTGGGATATACCCAAAATTGAACTGCAATGACCAATACATTGGTTATTGTGCATTAAATTCAAACAAAATTAAAATTAAAATTAAAATTAAAATTAAAATTAAAATTAAAATTAAAATTAAAATTAAAATTAAAATTAAAATTAAAATTAAAATTAAAATTAAAATTAAAATTAAAATTAAAATCTTACAACTCTCAATTGGGACCAGAATTTCTTTGCTACCAAGATGGTTGTTAAGTGAATCGTGCCCGATTTTACGACCTCTTTTGCCACGGCTTTTAAGCAAATCATTGCAGTTGTTAAGTGAATCATGCAGTCGTTAAGCAGATCTGTCTTCCCGTATTGACTTTGTCGGAAGCTGGCTGGGAAGGTCACAAATGGCAATCACATGACCCAGGATGCTGCAACCGTCGTAAATACATGCCAGTTGCCAAGCGCCCAAATACTGATCATGCAACCATGAGGATGCTGTGAGGGTCAGTCATCAATAACTTTTTTCAGTGCCACTGTAACTCTGAATAGTCGCCAAACAAATAGTTGTAAGTCGAGGACTACCTGCATACAACAAGCACATAGAATTTGCTTAGTAAAGAATAACTAAAGAGGCAGGAGAAATCAGAACCTGGAGAGGCGGAGAGAAGGCTGCTTCTTCCCTTCTGTCTGTAAGATTTCCTTGTCAGAAAAAGGCAGGGATGATGGTGGCCACAGAGCTGAGAAGACAACGGGGCAATTCAACATGAGGTTCAAAGGAGGAGCAAAGGAGGAAAAGTGCACTTCTGGCTTTGTTTTTCTCAAGTGCAGCTGAATTCAGTTGGGCTTCCCCCCCCCCCCATCCTAGTCTGTCTTTCTGCTGTCTGTTGGTTGCATGGCAACCTGTTTGGCACATCAGCCCAAAGAGAAGGCACCCGTGTTGGGGAGAAAAGCTATGGATCACAAACAATATTTAGAAAGGTTCGGAGTGAACCCAAGGAGGTCAGGGACAGCCGGTGGGCGCACCAGGGAGCAGGAAGCGCACCACCAGACCCCTTCCAAACAAAGCGAGGGGGCCGAACCTTTCCCAAGTGGAACATGCTCCACCAAAACAGGAAAAAGCATAAAACATTTAGGCCTACAGTCAACATTTGCTGAATGACACCCCTGACCCAGTTTTCAACAAGCGAAGTCAATTGGGGAAGCCAGATTCGCTTAACAACAGTGTGATTCACTTAACAACCATATGGTTCACGTAATGACCATGGTAAAATGGTCATAAAATGGGATCCAGTCACATGATCACTTGCTTAATGGCAACATCACTTAGCGATTGGCCATAAGTCAAGGATTACATGTAATTATTCCCCCCAAAATTACTGATTCCCCCTGCTTACCCCAAAAATGAGAGACTGCAGTTTTTAAAGGCTGCATGCAAAGCTCTGGCAGCTGCAATAAATCTTAGTCTATCTTAGTCTAAGATTTACTGCAGCTGCCAGAGCTTGGGATAGTAACATATCCTAGTCCTGGCTTAGTCCTGGCTTCCAACACAGCCTTTTCAGAGTGTGACTGATGACACTTCCACAAACATTTCTGTAAAAAAGCTGCATCATATAAGGCCATGTTCTGCGAAGTTTTGACTGAGCAAAACCACAGGAAATGAGTCTGCTGGGAAATTGGGCTTCCCTCATTTATCTGCAGACATTCATAAAGGTTCCAAAAAGGGCTGTGAAGGTTCAGGAATAAAGGAGAAGAGTTTCCTGGGTCAACCCAACCCCTTTGGTAGCTGAGCTTTCAACTGAAGAGGTATTCCAGAGAAAAGGGAATTATGACCGAACATTTTTGAAAGTTGGGGAAAGAGAACATCTTGCCAGCTGGACAATATTCCCCACAATCCAAGGAAATAAAATGAGATGCCTTCTGATCTTCCTTGGGAGTATCAACGAAGGAATAAAAAGGGAGGGATCCACAGAAGCAAGGACTAATTCTCCCTACAAATCAAAGCAATGCAAAACCCCAGGCAGATCTGGATTGTCCTAAGACAGGGGGTCTGCAACCTTGACAACTTTAAGACTTGTGGACTTCAGCTCCCAGAATTCCGCAGCCAGCATAGCTGAAGTCCACAAGTCTTAAAGTTGTCAAGGTTGCAGACCCTTGTCCTAAGATATTAACCTTATTCAAGGCAATAAAGGTCAAACCCTATTGGACGGGGGATCTTATTCTGGTTTTGGATAAATTTGGGGATTTTGGACTGTGGCCAGAATCCTTTCCTGCCTTCAGAAGGTAGAGGGAACAAAGGCAAGTATAGAATTGTATCTAGAGAGTTCCCGCAGCTAAGTCGAGGGTTGTAACCATGGAGCAGCGAAGACTGTAGGAGAAATAAGCAGAGCTGAAGATATATCCTGATTCAGAATGACAAGGACCCCAAAGGCACCTGCCAACAGCAGCCCTTCATTAGTAATGGAAGAGTAATAGTATAGAAACGTAGGCAGACAATAATTTGATCAAACACATACACCGTAGATTCTCATGAATTGCCCGTAGCTCAAAAGCACAGAAAGGGGCACAGCCTTGCAAATTCAACTTATTGTTACTTTGCAGAATTATGGTAGCCTCTACAAACAAGCTGTTTTTTGTGGCAGTGAGAGATTCTACAATGCAGACCCCACAATCTCTCTTTCCTTTGCCCCCAAGAAGTTTCCACCACTTCTATCCAGATGAAGCAGGGATGAAGCTGGATGAAATCAAGTGGAAAATAACAAGCAAAGCAAAACAAGAATGTGCTTTCAAGGGTTTCCCATAGGGGAAAATTTGCCATGACTTTCCCATAATACAGGTTGGGAAGAATTCTCAGGACTGCAAAAAAGCAGCTTTGAGGATGCAGACTCTCCTAGATTTGATACCTCACAACCCTGGAGAAACAGATGGAAGCTCTGACAGGGTTCTTAAAATTATCTTCCTTCAGATCTGGATGATTCATTTCATCTTTAAACCTCTTAACTCTTAACTCTCCAAAGATGGAGGACACCCATCTCTGCTTCTATTTTCCCTGTCAGCCCTATAAGATAGCCCAGATCAAGAAACCAATGCCATATAGATCTAAAACTACTTTTTTAATAACAGTTTTAGGAACAGAATCTTGCAAGTCAGAATGTCCTTTATCTTTGTATAAATTAAGGGGGAGCTGGTCTGAGATATTTCTTGGAATAGACTAAAGTCCCACTTGAGGGGGGGTGGCTTTTCTGTCTGTCCTTCAGAGCCATTTTCTATGCCCCCTACCCAAGACCAGTGGTGTGTTCCATCCACTCACCCACCCCTACACCAGACGAAAGGCTCACCAGAATGGGAGTTCACGTCAGTTCACTTGTTCCATGTTTCTTGCTGGAGAACAGGAGTCTAAAGAGAAAAAAATCAAAGAAGCATAATTTTTATTTATATATATTTACTTATTAAATTTGCCACCCATCTCACTATTCAAAGTGACTCTGGGACACTTAACAATACAATAAAGCAATACATATAAAAACATTAAAATTACCAAGAATTAGATAAAGACTAAAAACCAAGAACACAAATGGTACAGAGGCAAAATTTTCTCTATCCTTCTACTAATCATCTCTAGCATAGAGCACTCCCATCAGTTGCTTATGCTCTTAACTACTATAACCGTAGTTACTTAGAAACCGGTGCTGAAGGACAAGACCTATCGTGTTGCATTTGCTCAAACCTAAGCTAGAATATACATGTAAATGTAAGTCAAGTCTGTTTTTACCAACTATATTAGCAAAGTGGTATTGAGTCTATCAATTTGCTTTATGGAATTTTATTTTAAAAATAGACTGGAAAATCCATATTTCCATTTGGTAAAGTTCCCTCAACAGACTTTTTATACAGATTTCCCCATTATTTGTAGCTTTTAACATCTACTCCACAAGAAACCTTTGTTAAGATGCTAATTTTCCCTATGGTTTGGCTTCACAAACTTCCCAATTGCCTCTTAAATCTTAATGAAATTTTATTATTTCTTCTCCTTCTTTCCCTGTTGCCTTCTAAGTCAAATGTTGCTATTAAAATGCCTGGAATAAATAAACAGATCTTTGAAGCCAACGGATATATTTGCAATTACAGGCACTTTTACAAAATATCTTCTATAGATAGCCTTGCCCTTATATTAAATGGCCATAAGAGATCAAATGGCTGATCATTTGTGCAAAGTAGAGTTTGCATTCATTTATTCATGAGGTCAAAAACTTTCCCCTGTGCCTAAGTACTATAGGTACAGCTTGAGTTTGAATGCCGAAGTGCAGAAAGTGTCTTTTGAACTCCCCCATTGTGTCTAAAATTTCTTTTTGTGCAAAAGACAAATGGAAGAGGCTCAAAGAGAACCCCACTCATTCCCCCCTCCAAAAAATTTCTGAATTGGAGTCTAATCTAAAGTACAATAGAAGCATAATTTCAGCTTCAAATGCCAACTCGCACAAGGAATAATTCACAATCATAGACAGGGCAAAAATTTTATGCTCAAAATGACACCAAGGAAAGCAATTAAATGAAGACATTTGTAGTTTTAAATATGCAAGATTCTGTTACTGTGGCATTGCAATAAAGTAGACTTAGCTCATCTTGTTATTTTTATTCTGTTTTGTGAGATTGACATCTCTCTTGCCAGGCTGAAAGTACAACTCTCCAACTATCTAGTTTTACCATCTGATTAGTTAGAGCAGATCCTTTCTAGGTTTCTTTCTTTACCTGTTACTCAGATGTGAGTTCCTCCTCCTTTTATCTGATCATTCTCTATGCCGGGGTCCCCAACCCCCGGGCCATGGACTGGTACCAGTCCGTGGCCGGTTAGGAACTGGGCTGCATAGCTGGAGGTGAGGGGCAGATGAATGAAACTGTACATGAGGAGGATCTAGTTCACACACTCCTCCCCCCCCCAGT